ATTTGTGTATTTGTTGTGTATTTGTGTGTATTTGTTGTGTATTTGTGTATTTGGTGTGTATTTGTGTGTATTTGTTGTGTATTTGTGTGTATTTGTTGTGTGTATTTGTTGTGTATTTGTGTATTTGTTGTGTGTATTTGGTGTGTGTATTTGGTGTGTATTTGTATTTGTTGTGTGTATTTGTTGTGTATTTGTGTGTTGTTTTAATAGTGTTTTGTGTATTTTTTGTGTATTTTTTGTGTTAGTCTGAATCGTCGGTTGTTGCTCCTAAAACGTCCAAACCTCAGACGACGACCGTGAAAGCCCCGTCTGTACGTTTATCTGTTTATCCATCATTATCTGTTTATCCATCTGTTTATTATCTATCTATCCATCCATCCGTCTGTACGTTTATCTGTTTATCCATTTATCTATCTATCTATCTATCTGTTTATCTGTTTATCTATCGATCTATCCATCCATCCGTCTGTACCTTTATCTATTCATCCATCCATCAATCTAGCTATACGTCTGTACGTTTATCTATCTCTCACTCTGTCCATCCATCCATCTATCCATCTGTTTTTTATCTCTCCATCCGTCTGTCTGTCCTCTTTACCTCTCATCTGTTTGTTTTTCTCTCTCTCTCTGTCTGTCGTTCATCTCTCTGTGGTTTTTCTCTTTTTCTCTGTTCCCTCTCTCTCTCTCTCTCTCGTCTCTGTTTTCTCTCTCTCTCTCTCGTCTCTGTTTTCTCTCTCTCCTCTCGTCTCTGTTTTCTCTCTCTCTCTCTCTCGTCTCTGTTTTCTCTCTCTCTCTCTCGTCTCTGTTCTCTCTCTCTCTCTCTGTCTCTGTCTCTCTTCTCTCTCTCTCTTCTCTCTCGTCTCTGTTTTCTCTCTCTCTCTCTCGTCTCTGTTTTCTCTCTCTCTCTCTCGTCTCTGTTTTCTCTCTCTCTCTCTCGTCTCTGTTTTCTCTCTCTTCTCTCTCGTCTCTCTCTCTCTCTCTCTCTCTCTCTCTCTCTCTCTCTCTTCCTCTCGTCTCTGTTTTCTCTCTCTCTCTCTCGTCTCTGTTTTCTCTCTCTTCTCTCGTCTCTGTTTTCTCTCTCTCTCTCGTCTCTGTTTTCTCTCTCTCTCTCTCGTCTCTGTTTTCTCTCTCTCTCTCTCGTCTCTGTTTTCTCTCTCTCTCTGTCTCTCGTTTCTCTCTCTCTCTTCTCTCTCTCTGTCTCTCTCTCTCTTCTCTCGTCTCTGTTCTCTCTCTCTCGTCTCTGTTTTCTCTTTCTCTCTCTCTGTTTTCTCTCTCTTCTCTCTCTCTCTGTCTCTCTCTCTCTTCTCTCTCTCTCGTCTCTGTCTCTCTCTCTCTTCCTCTCGTCTCTGTTTTCTCTCTCTCTCTCGTCTCTGTTTTCTCTCTCTCTCTCTCGTCTCTGTTTCTCTCTCTCTCTCTCTCTCTCTCTCGTCTCTGTTCTCTCTCTCTCTCTCTCTCGTCTCTGTTCTCTCTCTCTCTCTCTCTGTCTCTGTCTCTCTCTCTCTCTCTCTCTCTCTCGTCTCTGTCTCTCTCTCTTCTCTCTCTCTCTCTCTCTGTCTCTTCTCTCTCTTCTCTCTCGTCTCTGTCTCTCTCTCTCTCTCTCGTCTCTGTTTTCTCTCTCTCTCTCTCGTCTCTGTTTTCTCTCTCTTCCTCTCGTCTCTCTTTTCTCTCTCTCTCTCTCGTCTCTGTTTTCCTCTCTCTCTCTCGTCTCTTCTTCTCTCTCTCTCTCTCTCTCTGTCTCTCTTCTCTCTCTCTCTCTCTCTCTCTCTCTCTCTCGTCTCTGTCTCTTTCTCTCTCTCTCTCTCTCGTCTCTGTTTCTCTCTCTCTCTCTCTCTGTCTCTGTCTCTTTTCTCTCTTCTCTCTCGTCTCTGTTTCTCTCTCTTCTCTCTCTCGTCTCTGTCTCTCTCTCTCTCTCTCTCTCTCTCTCTCGTCTCTGTTTTCTCTCTCTCTCTCTCGTCTCTGTTTTTCTCTCTCTCTCTCGTCTCTGTTTCTCTCTCTCTCTCTCGTCTCTGTTCTCTCTCTCTCTCTCGTCTCTGTTTTCTTCTCTCTCTCTCGTCTCTGTTTTCTCTCTCTCTCTCTCTCGTCTCGTCTCTGTTTTCTCTCTCTCTCTCTCGTCTCTGTGTTCTCTCTCTCTCTTCTCTCGTCTCTGTTTTCTCTCTCTCTCTCGTCTCTGTTTTCTCTCTCTTCCTCTCGTCTCTGTTTTCTCTCTCTCTCCTCTCGTCTCTGTTTTCTCTCTCTCTCTCTCGTCTCTGTTCTCTCTCTTCCTCTCGTCTCTGTCTCTCTCTTCTCTCTCTCTCTCTCTCTCGTCTCTGTCTCTCTCTCTCTCTCTCTGTTTTCTCTCTCTCTCGTTCTCTCTCTCTTCTCTCTCTGTCTCTCTCTCTCTCGTCTCTGTTTTCTCTCTCTCTCTCTCTCTCGTCTCTGTTTTCTCTCTCTCTCTCTCGTCTCTGTTTTCTCTCTCTTCCTCTCGTCTCTGTTCTTTCTAAACGTCCCTCTGTCCTCCTCAGATGGACGCAGAAGCTCTTGGAGCTCTTGAAGACCTCCTTCCTACAGCAGAACCTCCCAAACCCGAGGCTCCTCTCAGACCAGACCAGCTCGTGAAGGTGACCAGAGCTTCTTCTCCTGCTTTTCATTTAATAAGATCCAGGTTCAGTTTTTATTCGTCCGCGGTCGTTTGGGCTCGTGGTGCTCACGCCTCACAGCCAGAAGGTCCCGGGTTCTCCTCACGGGCCTTTCTGTGTGTGGAGTCTGCATGTTCTGTCAGACAAGTGGAAAAGAAAAAAGAAAATGTTCACTCTGTATATTCACCTTCATTATTGTTTTCACTACTGGCATGAAATACATCGTTTGAAAGCTTCATTTATCAATAAAACAACCATATCATTCATTTTATGTCGTACAACGAGCCCAAAACACGATAACTTAAAAATTCACATCATAAACAAAGAATAAGATACGCGTTTCTTACCTTTGAGCCGGTTCTGTCGGTCCAAAACGCGTTCAATCCATGAAAAGTTGTACTCAATAAGTCCGTAATAATCCACAGAAAAAGAATATCAAGTTGTTTTTTCCAAAAAATAATTCCATGTGGGGAAATAATCCAGAAAATCCTCGTCCGTATGAATGGATGAATGCGTGAATGAATATGATATGTCGCCTTTTCGAGCCTTCTGCCTCTCTGAGTTCTGTTTCTCTTGGCGCTCTTGGGTGCGCTTGTTTTCCTCACACTCTTAGCTTCAAAATGAGACCCTCCCCGCTGTTGTCGGTGGCGGGGTTTAGGTGGGACAAGCCGCTGAAGAAGCTAACGCACTCACGTACTTCCTGGCTTTACGCACGCGTCATCAGTTTGTTTACGGGAAATCTCTTCAGTCATTGGATCTTCCAGAAAGTGATTGACATATTGTTTTAGCCAATCAGCCAGAGCTTTCAAACGGTGGGTGGGACATTCAGATTGTATTGGAAACGGACGCTGTGTTTAGAAGCGTAAGAGAGACACAGAGAAGCAGTGTGGGAGGGGCCATAGTTGGCAGATCTGACACTTGGAAGACAATTTTGGCTACTTTTAGTTTTTTTTCTTGAGAAAACATGCCTAAAGCTCAGAAGAATTAGTATTATAATAATGCCTAGCATGAAGTATGCCCAAGCTAAGGCCTTTATTTTTTTCAATTTTTTTTTTCGAAGCAAAAAAATACAATTTTAATTGACTGTACTGTAGGTTAGGCAGCACTCACAGTCTTCATGTACATATCTACAGAAACTAGAAGGTCTAAGCTTTAAAATGGTGCCTCACACAAGCATGTGGGTTCTAAGGTTTTCTTTTAATAAGCTATGGCATTTGGGTATGTAGTGCTATTGTGCACATGCCAAAATGAGGTGAATGGTAACAGGTTAAAGGTCGTATGGAGGATTTTTTTTTTAGTTTCAAATTGTCATTGAAAGTTTAAAATACCAGTACAGAGACGCAACAGCTTTGTAATTATGATGACCAAAAAAAAAAAAAGAATGAAAATCTACCAACTGTGGACGTGTTGAGGCCAGATAAACATCAGCCAATAGACAACGAGGCTGCCTCTTTATCTATTGGCTGTGAGGTCGTCAATCAAACTCCCTACGATTCTAGTGTAACTGATGCAGGGATTTCGTGGTTTACGCTGCGGTTCTTGGAGGCTTTTTTAAACCGTCGCTTCCTCGCGATTCACACAAAGTTTGTCGCGACGGCGGACGAGAATCTACGACCGGTTCGCCGCAAAAGAAAGTCGGTTTTTGAGGAAACTGAAAGAAGAAGGGGAAAAGGAGCGAAGACAAACTGAGGTGATTCTTGGAGATTCCTTCCAGCGATGGCGCGACTGAAGCGGACGAAGTGTCTAAAAACTGACGCGTCGGTCGCTAAATTATTTCTCGACAGGAAACTTCAGCAGTAATTCTGAACGCGCACTGGATGTAAACAAGTGTGATGTGTAGAGTAAAGAGGCGGGAGGAGGAGATGTTTCTACTGAGGAGCTGTGGAGGAGGAAGGTGGTGTCACTCATGCCCTTAAAAAATCATCTATACAACCTTTAATCCTGATTTTTTCTCTCTGATTCTCTGATGTTCTCCTGATGTGTTCCTGACCTCCTGATGTTCTCCATGTGTTTCTCCTGATTTTTCTCTCTGATGTTCTCCTGACGTTCTCCTGACTGATGTTCTCGTGTGTTGCAGGAGGCCACAGTGGAGGAGGAGGAGGGGGTGAGAGTTGGAGAGCGAGACGACACCCTCCCTCCAGATTACAGACCGAGACCAGAGGACAAAAACCTGCCCCCTCCCCCACCCGAGGTACGACTCCGATCTGACCCCAGACCAGAAGGTTTGGGCTTCAGGTCCCCTCAAGTCCCCCTCAAGTCCCCCTCAAGTCCCTCAAGTCCCCTCAAGTCCCTCAAGTCCTCTTCTCCACATGATGTGTTTTTAATTTTTATTTATTTTGGTTTAAAAAATCTGAACTGTTCATTAATATAAAACTCCTCTTCCTCTGTTCCTCCTCTTCTGTTCTTCTGTTCTTCTTCTGTTCTTCTGTTCTGTTCTTCTTCTTCTGTTCTTCTGTTCTTCTTCTCTTCTTCTTCTGTTCTTCTTCTGTTCTTCTTCTGTTCTTCTTCTGTTCTTCTTCTGTTCTTCTTCTGTTCTTCTTCTGTTCTTCTGTTCTTCTTCTGTTCTTCTGTTCTTCTGTTCTTCTGTTCTTCTGTTCTTCTTCTGTTCTTCTGTTCTTCAGCCTTCTGTGACTACACCAGATGCCCTGGACTTCCTCTTAGACGACTTCGGTTCTTCCTCTGCACCAACCACAAAGAGCACTGCCCCTGCTCCTGCACAGGTAACTCCTCCTCTCCTCCTCTTCACCTCTTCACCTCCTCCTCCTCTCCTCCTCTCCTCCTCCTCTGTCCTTCCTCTTCACCTCCTCCTCCTCTTCTTCTTCTCTTCTTCTTCTCTCATGTCTCTTTCTCTTTCTCGTGTAGAAACCCGTCTCTGCTCCTTTGGATAAAAAACCTCGGATGGAGCCAGATGATTTTTCTCTCGAGGCTGGACTCACCCCGTCCTGCGTGCAGGTACTGCACCTGTCAGCACCTGTCAGCACCTGTCTGCACCTGTCTGCACCTGTCTGCACCTGTCTGTACCATAACACCTGTCTGCACCTGTCTGTACATAACACCTGTCTGCACCTGTCTGCACCTGTCTGTACATAACACCTGTCTGCCCCTGTCTGTACATAACACCTGTCTGCACCTGCCTGTCCATAAACCTGTCTGCACCTGTCCTGTCTAACACCTGTCTGCACCTGTCTGTACATAACACCTGTCTGCACCATAACACCTGTCAGCACCTGTCAGAGTCTGGTCGTCGGTCGTTGGTCCTCGTGTGTTTTTGCTCGTTTCTGTTTTGACCTGAAGTGTTTTTGGTCTCAGGTTTGTCGTGGTTTCGTGTCGTCGTGGTTTCGTGTCGTCGTGTTCGTCGTGGTTTCGTGGTGTCGTCGTGGTTTGTCGTCGTTTCGTCGTGTCGTTCGTCGTGGTTTCGTCGTCGTGGTTTCGTGTCGTCGTCGTCGTGGTTCGTCGTGGTTCGTTGTCGTCGTGGTTTTCGTGGTTTCGTGGTCGTCGTGGTTTCGTGTCGTCGTGGTTTCATGGTTTCGTGTCGTCGTTTCGTGGTTTCGTGTCGTCGTGGTTTCGTGTCGTCGTCGTGGTCGTCGTGGTTTCGTGTCGTCGTTCGTGTCGTGTCGTCGTCGTCGTCGTCGTGGTTTCGTTCGTCGGTTCGTGCGTCGTGGTTTTGTCCGTCGTGTTTCGTGGTTTCGTGGTTTGTCGTCGTGGTCGTCGTGGTCGTGGTTCGTGTCGTTGTCGTGGTTTCGTGTCGTCGTGGTTTCGTCGTTCGTTTCGTGGTCGTTCGTCGTGTCGTCGTGGTTTCGTGTCGTCGTTGGTTTCGTGTCGTCGTGGTTCGTCGTGGTCGTCGTGGTTTTCGTCGTTCGTGTGTCGTTCGTGGTTCGTGTCGTCGTTGTCGTCGTGGTTTTCGTCGTTTCGTGTCGTCGTGGTGTCGTCGTGGTTTTCGTGTCGTCGTGGTTCGTCGTGGTTTCGTGTTTTGTGTCGTCGTGTTTCGTTCGTCGTGGTTTCGTGGTCGTCGTGGTTCGTGTCGTCGTCGTGTCGTGTCGTCGTGGTGTTTCGTGTCGTCGTGGTTTCGTGTCGTCGTGGTTTCGTGTCGTCGTGGGTTTTCGTGGTTTCGTGGTTTTGTGTCGTGGTTTCGTGGTTCGTGTGTTTCGTCGTCGTGGTTTCGTCGTGGTTTCGTGTCGTCGTGGTTTTCGTGTCGTCGTGGTTGTCGTGTCGTCGTGTCGTCGTGTCGTTTTCGTGTGTCGTCGTGGTTTCGTGTCGTCGTGGTTCGTGTGTCGTGTTTTGTTCGTCGTGGTTTCGTGGGTCGTGTCGTGTTCGTTTCGTGGTTTCGTGTCGTCGTGGTTTCGTGTCGTGTGGTTCGTCGTTTCGTGGTTTCGTGTTCGTGTTCGTGGTTTCGTTCGTTTCGTGTCGTGGTTCGTCGTCGTGGTTTCGTGTTCGTCGTGTCGTGTCGTCGTGGTTTCGTGTCGTCGTGGTTCGTCGTGTCGTTTCGTGTTTCGTTTCGTGTCGTCGTGTGTTTCGTGTCGTCGTGGTTTCGTGTCGTCGTGTTGTCGTGGTTTCGTGGTTTCGTGTCGTCGTTTCGTGTTTCGTGTGTCGTGTTTCGTGTTTCGTGTCGTCGTTCGGTGTCGTCGTGGTTTCGTCGTCGTGTCGTTGTTCGTGGTTTCGTGTCGTCGTGGTTTCGTGTCGTTCGTGGTTTCGTGGTTCGTCGTGTTTCGTTTCGTGTCGTTTCGTGTCGTCGTGGTTTCGTGGTTTCGTGGTTTCGTTGTCGTTTCGTGTGTCGTTTGTTCGTCGTTTCGTGTCGTCGTGGTTTCGTGTCGTCGTCGTCGGTTTCGTGTCGTTTCGTGGTGTTCGTTGGTGTCGTCGTTTCGTCGTGGTTTCGTGGTTTCGTGTCGTGTCTGTCGTGGTTTCGTGTCGTCGTGGTTTCGTGGTTCGTGGTTTCTGTCGTGGTTTCGTTGTCGTCGTGGTTTCGTTCGTTTCGTCTGGTCGTGTTCGTCGTGTGGTTTCGTCGTGGTTTCGTGTGTCGTCGTGGTTTCGTGTGTTTCGTTCGTTTCGTTTGTGTCGTGGTTTCGTGTCGTTGTGGTTTCGTGGTTTTGTGTCGTCGTGGTTTCGTGTCGTTGTGTTTCGTCGTGTTTCGTGTTTCGTTGTCTTGTGGTTTCGTGGTTTTCGTGTCGTCGTGGTTTCGTGTCGTTGTGGTTTCGTGGTTTCGTGTCGTTGTGGTTTCGTGGTTTTGTGTCGTCGTGGGTTCGTGTCGTCGTGTCGTTTCGTCGTGGTTTCGTGTCGTGTGTCGTCGTGGTTTTCGTGTCGTTCGTTCGTCGTGGTCGTCGTGGTTTCGTGTCGTCGTGTTTCGTGGTTTGGTTCGTTCGTGTCGTGTCGTCGTGGTTTCGTGTTGTCGTGGTTTCGTGTCATCGTGGTTTTGTGGTTTCGTGTCGTCTTGGTTTCGTGTCGTCGTGGTTTCGTGTCGTCGTGGTTTCGTGTCGTCGTGGTTCCGTGTCGACCTGAGTCCTGCTCGAGTCCCGGGGGGTTTGAGACTCGCAGGTTAAACCTGAACTCTTCTGTTTTGTAGAAGGTCCAGTCGTCTGCTGCTCCTCCACTCAAGAAATCTGAAACCAAACCCACCAAAGCAGAAGCAAAACCTAAAGACGTCACAGACTCCAGACCTGCTCTGGAGAAGGTGAGAGTGCTCCTGCCTGCTCCTGCCTGTTCCTGCTCTGCTCCTGCCTGCTCCTGCTCCTGTCTGCTCCTGCCTGCTCCTGCTGCCTGCTCCTGCCTGCTCCTGCCTGCTCCTGCCTGCCTGCTCCTGCCTGCTCCTGTCTGCTCCTGTCTGCTCCTGCCTGCTCCTCTGTCTGCTCCTGCCTGCTCCTGCTGTCTGCTCCTGTCTGCTCCTGTCTGCTCCTGCCTGCTCCTGCCTGCTCCTGTCTGCTCCTGCCTGCTCCTGCCTGCTCCTGTCTGCTCCTGCCTGCTCCTGCCTGCTCCTGTCTGCTCCCTGCTCCTGCCTGCTCCTGCTCCTGTCTGCTCCTGTCTGCTCCTGTCTGCTCCTGTCTGACCTCTCTTCTCCTCCAGGGCGGGTCCATGTCCTTGGATGCTCTCAGCGCTCTTGAAGACCTCCTTCCTTCAGCAGAACCTCCCAAACCTGAGGCTCCTCCCAGACCAGACCAGCTCGTGAAGGTCAGGAGACTTTTGTTCTTTGTTTGTTCTTCGTTTGTTCTTCGTTTGTTCTTCGTTTGTTCTTCGTTTGTTCTTCTAGTGGGGACAGTGGAGCTGGACTCACTGGAGGTGGAGGGGAACGGTTCTCTCAGAGCTTCAGAGCTTTGGAGATGAGTTGGAGATGTTTTTTGTAGTGAGGGAGGAGCTAGGGGGGAGATGGACATTCAGACACAACCTCCTCGTTCTCCTGATGTTCTCCTGATGTTCTTCTGATATGTTCCTGATGTTCTCCTGATGTTCTCCTGATGTTCTCCTGATGTTCTCCTGACATTCTCCATGTGTTCTCCTGATGTTCTCCCTGTGTTATCCTGATGTGTTCCTGATGTTCTCCTGATGTTCCGATGTTCTGTGTGTTCCTGATGTGTTCCTGATGTTCTCCTGATGTTCCTGATGTGTTCCTGATGTGTTCCTGATGTGTTCCTGATGTTCCGATGTTCTCCTGACATTCTCCTGATCTGATGTTCTCGTGTGTTGCAGGAGGCCACAGTGGAGGAGGAGGAGGGGGTGAGAGTTGGAGAGCGAGAGGACACCCTCCCTCCAGATTACAGACCGAGACCAGAGGACAAAAACCTGCCCCCTCCCCCACCCGAGGTACGACTCCGATCTGACCCCAGACCAGAAGGTTTCGGGTTCAGGTCCTCCTCTCCACACTTTTTCACGTTTTCAGGTCGACAGAATCGTGAAGGTGTCGGTTCCTGCACCGAATCTCGAACCGGCGAAAATCCGAGCGTTCAGGAACCAAGTAAAACGTGTCTTTTGTGAGGTGTGAGGACTCGGTGGACCTGAGCAGGTTCCTCGAGTCACACGAGAAAATAAAGAAAGAAAATGAGTGTGAGGAACACGGAGGAGAAACAAGAGACAGAAGATCGAGCCGTGGTCAGAGGACGAGAAGAAATATTTACTGTATCCAGTGAGGTTTCATCTTTGGATTGAACGTCGCTGCCACCGAATCCACAGTAGATGTTCCTCCACTGCAGATGTTCCTCCACAGCAGATGTTCCTCCACACAGATGTTCCTCCACACAGATGTTCTCCACCAAAAAAACAGACAGATGTTCCTCCACACAGATGTTCCTCCACACAGATGTTCCTCCAAAACAGATTGTTTCCTCCACCACAGATGTTCCTTCAGCAGATGTTCCTCCACACAGATGTTCCTCCAAAACAGATGTTCCTCCACACAGATGTTCCTCCACAGCAGATGTTCCTCCAAAACAGATGTTCCTCCACACAGATGTTCCTCCAGCCAAGATGTTTCCTCCCACAGCAGATGTTCCTCCAAAACAGATGTTCCTTCACAGCAGATGTTTCTCCGCAGCAGATGTTCCTCCACACAGATGTTCCTCCACACAGATGTTCCTCCAAAACAGATGTTCCTCTGCAGATGTCTCACACAGATGTTCTCCACAGATGTTCCTCAGATGTTCCTCCAACAGATGTTCCTCCACACAGATGTTCCTCCACACAGATGCAGATTCCTTCCAGCAGATGTTCCTCCCCAAAACAGATGTTCCTCCACAGCAGATGTTTCCTCCAAGCAAAACAGATGTTCCTCACACAGATGTTCCTCAGATGTTCCTCCACAGATGTTCCTCCACACAGATGTTCCTCCACACAGATGTTTCCACTGTCCACAGCAGATGTTTTCCCACCAGATGTTGTCCCTCCTGCAGATGTTCCTCCACTGCAGATGTTCCTCAAAACAGATGTTCCTCCAGACTGCAGATGTTTCCTCCACACAGATGCAGATGTTCCTCCACAGCAGATGTTCCTCCACACAGATGTTCCTCCACACAGCAGATGTTCCTCCACACAGATGTTCCTCCACACAGATGTTCCTCAGCAGATGTTCCTCTTTCGTTGGGTTTTGTTTTTATTCGGTGGTAAATCTGTCCATGATCTTCACGTTTCACTTGAACGTTTGAACGAACGCGTCTCGTTCTCCGTAAGAACTTTGGTTCCCCGAGGAACTGGAGCAGGAACCGACACCGACCTGAAAACATCTCCTGACACAGCAGATGTTGTGTCTTTAACAGCACAACTTTTATTTATTTTTTAACATTTGGTTTGAAAAGTCTGAAAAACATTTATTAATATAAACCCTCTGTTCTTCTTCTGTTCTTCTTCTTCTGTTCTTCTGTTCTGTTCTTCTTCTGTTCTTCTTCTGTTCTTCTGTTCTTCTTCTGTTCTTCTGTTCTTCTTCTGTTCTTCTTCTTCTTTCTTCTGTTCTTCTGTTCTTCTGTTCTTCTTCTGTTCTTCTTCTGTTCTTCTTCTGTTCTTCTGTTCTTCTTCTGTTCTTCTTCTGTTCTTCTGTTCTTCTTCTGTTCTTCTTCTGTTCTTCTTCTTCTTCTGTTCTGTTCTTCTGTTCTTCTTCTGTTCTTCTTCTGTTCTTCTTCTTCTTCTGTTCTTCTTCTGTTCTTCTGTTCTTCTTCTGTTCTTCTTCTGT